GGATTCGAACCCGCCACCTTAGGTGTATGTGGCTGGCGCCTTAGCCGCTTGAGCCACAGGCGCCGAGCCGAGATCAAATATATTTCAAAGTCATATGTACAGGTGCCAGGTTGACAAGGGGTGGACTAAGGCCAATCTTTGCCAACTTGGCTAATCCCCAATTATCCAAACACTAAGTTAGGTGTTGCCACGAAATACTTTGTAGATATAATTAATGTAAAGCGACTATCCTTGGTAGTTCGGATGGGTGATTCCATCAATTGAAAGGCCTTCATAACAGAACTGAGGTTCCTTGCTGAAGAAATCCCACCTGCTGACTGTAGCCTCCACTTGCTCCTCAGAGCTCCAGCCTTCCTCTCCCTGAACCACAGGAATGATGTGGGAGGTGGGAGTCCAGGAATGCACTTGAAGGGCCAAAGGAACTCAGGGTTGTGAAAGGATCAAATGGGAGTGATAGTTTAGGAAGCCAAAGGAATTTGTGTACCTACAGATTTGGAAAACAGGGGTGCTGACTTGGGGTCTCGGGATGTGCTCTGCCTTCCACCAGAGAATTCTCTCAATCCCTCCCACATTTGCCTTGTCATTCCGATCTCAACTCAAATGTCCAAGACGTTGTCTCTCAACCCATGGTCCGTGGCTCCTGTTACCCTGGTGCTTTCCTCACAGCGCTATTCAACAGTGTATTACCTGTTTTTCACCGCATACATACTCTCTCAACATACTTCTCTCAACTAAAGACTTTACCCAACAAGTTCAGTATTCAATCTGTAGTACTGAAGCGTCTAACTGGCCTACAACAAATAGTTGTTGGGTAGGGTGTTCCTGTAAAGGATTAAAGATACCAACTTTCGGATGGAATTCTCTAGCTGAAACCTGCTGCTAGTAGGCAGTGCAGAAATAGAAGAACAGTTTAAATTAACAGACTCACACGACCATGATTACCTAAGTATTCTTTATAGGAGAATAACTTGAAAGTCAACAGATTGCTCTTTCAGCCATATTTTTATTTACAGTTTGTGTTCAATGCAAATCAACTCCATAACATGAGAAGTTACTATGAATCAAAGCATAAATACACAAACACAATATACAATTCAAAATAGTTGTATGGCATTCAGGTACAAAGCAAGGGGAGTGTTCATTCACACACACAGTAGCTTTAGATCTGTCCCATCTAGTTGTTCCCATGTAGGTTTCTAAAGATGGAAAAATTGACTTCGGTCACCACGACTACTGTGGCCATATTAGATACTTGGAACATCTAAGCATCAGTGTGTGACCATGCGAACAAAAGACTTCACGGAGTGCCTATTTTTAAAAAGGTTTCTGTGTATCGAGGCAGTGGTAAAAGATTTACTGCAGAATCAAGGCTACTTTTAGGCTTAGAACCAGGTTCTAACTATCTAAAAATATTGACTGATAACAAAAAGTGTTCCAAATGTGCTATGCTGACCCATAGTTGTCGCTGATTTTATTTTTAAAAAAAAATATTTACAGAAAGAGTATAAAAGTGTTTGCAAATTTAATGAAAGTTAGCTTCCCATCTTAACTTTCCAAATGCTTGATTTACACTTTTGGCTCCTTCACTTTTTTGCCCTTTTTAATTTCCAGATTTGTAATTTTGCCTTCAAAACAGATCATTCCTTAAATTATAAAAAGTATTCAACATATGCAGAAATAAAACTCATTTTGTAATTAGTTGAAGTCAATGCAATTCTATTTAGTCTTTGGAATCAGTTTAGCTAAAAGGATCTGGTGCTCTTGTTGAATGGAAATGGGTGCCAGGAAATGCCTACCACTTGACTCTAAGGATATGCAAGAGTTTCTCATGATGCTTGGCCTTGGGGGAGATTCCAATCCTTTATTGCTCTGGCACATGTCAATTACTACATAAAAGGTCAAATGCAATGTTAAATCCAAAGCCTCAGAGAAAAAAAAAAGTGTTCAGTTACCAAAAGAACAGTGATAGCTTAACAATGTAAATTTTCATCTAGAGTATATCGGCATTAAATTAGTACTGCTGAAACAATACAGAGGATTTACAGTAACAATTGGAAGTTCCTTCTAAAGTACATATAAATAGAATCATGGAAGCTTTTTTATATTACCTGTTTTTATGGCCTTATAGAACTAATGAACCAAATGAAAACGGAATCTCCATTCCACATCATATCCTTTATTTCTAGACAAAGGTATATAATCTATTCTTATTTTCAAGGTAGTTTTAAGCGTCCATATTTCTGAAGCCACATTCAGGGAAATCACATTTTTACTAATTTTGAATGTTGCCACTCTTCCTCTTGTACATGAAACTCCAGCTGACTTAATACTGGCAATCCATCATCTAGTCAAACCCTTCACTTGTTCTTCAAACCAATCGATTTGGGTTCTCGACATTTTCTGTGTTAATAAAAGGAGGTGTGGAATCAGTAGATTCAATGAAGACCGGTTTTTTCCTTGCCACACTGGACTTCTAGATGCCATTTGGATTGGATTTAGAAGATGGGGAAGTACAGATGTTTCTTGGCCTGAGTCTCTTAACAGTAGAGATGTAGAAGAGAAAGCGAGACCATGAGGAGACTGGCTGTTGACTGCAGGGCATTGCCACCTGCCTTGGTGGTATTGGCTGGATTTGCGGCAACCAAGGTACTCTGGGAGGAGTTATTTGGAATTGTCACAGCTGTTTGATTTGAATAAATCTAAAATACATAAAAAGTTACACTGATAAATTTCCACACTTCATTGCTACTTCCACATACACCCTTAATACACAATTAAGGTAAGTAATATATTCTAAGATTGCTGTTCTCATACCCGCATAATTAAATTCTGAATTACTGCTCAGTTCCACCAAGATCATCCTCTCACGCTTCAAAACAAACCACCTAGAAATGCCTAAGAAGTGCATGTAGCAAAAGAATAAAAAAAGTTCTTTAATAACTATAACTCCCCAAAGTATGGCTTTTTCTTTGCAAACGAAGGATCAAGTTAACTGATTTAATTTTTTAGATTATACTGAGCTACTGGCATTGCAATAAGGGTTCTTCTATTTTCCCAGAAAGGGAGAAATTTTTTTAAAAAAAATTTTTTTTGCAGTTTTTTGGCCAGGGCTGGGCTTGAACCCACCACCTCCAGCATATAAGGCCAGCGCCCTACTCCTTTGAGCCACAGGCACCTCCCTAAAGTTACTTTTTTTAAGAAAATGCTTTTTAAAAAATACTGTATTTGGGGTTCGTTATGGCGCCAGCCACATGCCTGGAGGCTAGTGGGTTCAAACCCAGCCCAGGTCAGCTGAACAACAATGACAACTGCAACAAAAAAATAGCCAGGCATTTTGGTGGGCACCTGTAGTCTCAGCTACTTGGGAGGCTGAGGCAAGAGAATCACTTAAACCCAAGGGTTTGAGGTTGCTGTGAGCTGTGACAGCACAGCACTCTGCTGAGGGCAACACAGTGAGACTCTGTCTAAAAAAAAAAAAAAATACTGTATTTGAGATTTATGACACTAGAATTAATTGGAGCACTGTCTATCCTGAATTTGTTGGGTAACTTTCACATACCCACTGAATATGTAGTAGAACCTTGGTAACTTAGCCTTAACTTAAGGAGCTAGTAAGTACCTTATCTGCTCCCTCGAAATCTTAAAAGTATAACCCTTCTCAAAATGTCTACAATATTTTGTTTTAATTTTTTTTTTTAAGAGTTTTGGCTTTAAGGCAGAATGACTTCACTGGGAACACCAAGAAGTGGGAGTGATTTCACAAAAGACAGAGAGGTTTGGTGTTAAGTTTCACCAACAGCGGCCTCACTGCCTGGTCACTAAGCTCAGTGCTGTGGCCAAGAACCAAGCTTCCCCGAATGTCCCCACATCTGAGTGGCATCACTCACCACCGATTTTTCAAGCTAGGAAATGCACAGTCCAGTGGGGCACGTGATAATCTCTCCTTTGTCAAGGAACAAAGGCAGATCAGAGTTTTCAGCTCTCACTGCGAGGCAGGGTTTACAAGAGCTTCTGATTACAGTCGGGAGGGAGGACGTGGCACCAAACAAGAGTCTGGGCCACATGTGCATTTGGCTGCCTATTAATCCAAAGATAAAACCCTCCTACATCAGCACCCACTCCTTTTGTTTGTAAAACCCGTAAGGCCATTAAACAAATATTGACCAAAGAAATGTACAATTCCTATCCAAAATAGTCTATGGACAAGAAAAAACATCTTGATCAGGACAAATTTACTTACAGGGCACCTACTGTGTGCAAGATTCGACTTGTCCTATCAGGAAATAACACCCCTACTAAAGGAAAGCATTAATATGGTGATTTATTTAAAACAGGGTGCCTGTTTTAAAGACCGGGTTAGGGAATCCTGAAAATAAGCTGTTCTTTATTCAAACGAATAGGTTTAGTGCCGCAGGTGACTTTTTTTTTTTACAGCCGAAAATCAACCTGAGAATCTAAAGGTTGTCTACACCAAGAACAAAACACACAAAAATGTTAAATCGATTAAATTGACACTAAACATAATTTTCCCTAACGAGCTAAATGTGTTCGCTTCATTAAAATCTCCCTCTTAAAAATGCTGGAGGAAAAAATTTGGTTGGTGAGAAGATGGGGTGCGGGGAGCTGGGTGCTGGCGGCCGGCTGCGCCCCTCCCCCACGGAGGAACTGAGACAGCCTCCTGAGCGCAGCGGACCCAGAGCAAGACAATAGGGTACAGTTCCCCCGTCCGCGGTGGGGAGCCCGCAGAACCCTCCAGCCTCAGGCTACACTCCCAGGTGAACCCAGAGGTTGGATGCCTGGGGACTAAGGACCCAGCACGCCCAACTTTTGAGGGGAGAAGTCCCAGAAAACCCCAAGCGAAGCCTGTGAAAAGCCACCTCGCTGTTACCCCACCTTCCAAGCCCGCCCGAAATGCCCAAATGTCTCCTCCCACGGCCCCACTCGGGTCTCCCAGGCTCAGCCCCCGGCCACCCTCGCGGGCGCGGAGCATCCCCACCCAGGGCAGCGCAGCGCCGCTCCTAGTACCCGCGCTCCGGCAAGGTTCCCGGGACAGAGGGTCTGGGGAGGGGGCGTGGTGGCGGGGACTGGGACTGAAACAAAGCCTGGCTGGGACTTGGGACACAACCATCCCACCCTGTCGCCTCCCCAGAACCAGCCAATCTGGGCTAAGAAGGGACTCCTAAGGTGACAAGAGATGGCCGTGCCCGGCTGGGAAGCAGAGAACACAGAGTCTGGAGAGGGTCCTGCTGGGCTCCAGCCCTCAGCCTGGGGTGGAAAATAGGGCCAGGTGGCCGGGACGTCCCCAGGATCCCCAAACCTACTCCGAGGTGGAGGATGGGCGTGAGCGGCGCTCCCCGAAGGGGACCGTCCCCTCTCTTTGTGTCGAGCGCTGAGAGCGGGACGACACTCCTTGAGGGAAGTGGCGCTCAAGGGACCAAGGAACGACCTCCCTAGGAACCACATCCTTCTGGGCGCTCCGTGAAGAGCGGGGATGCACATTCTCCTCCTCGCTGACACCTCGGACCTCCGGGTGAAAGTGGGTGGTAGGAGCCAGGTCACCTGGGAAGGGCCCGCGTGGACCTGGGGTGGGGCCGGGTCCTCGCAGCCCGCGCGAGGAACTGCATTGTTCCCGGGGCCGTGGAAGAGAAGGGACAGTCCGCAAGGGACTGCAAAGTGAGATCCACATCGCCCTCTCCCTCGGTCACTTATGCAAGATTCCTTCTCCCCGTCCCAGTCTGTGGCCCTACGTAGGGCCGCAGAGGCTGGTCCCCGGGGACTGTTCCACCTCCCAACTCCCTTGGGCACGGCCCTCGAGCCCCGCCGGGAGCCAGGGCCTCACCTGTGTGGGTAGGAGCAGTGCCAGAAGCAGCAGCCCCAGCCCCAGCCTGGCCACCATCGCTCTGCCCATGTCCCCTCCGTCGGTGTACGGCGCGTCTCTCGGGATGTTGGCTGCGTGGAGAACCGCTGGCTCCGGGCGGGCGCAGGCAAGGTGGGGAGCGCGGCGCGCCTGCGGGACCTTATATACCGGGACAGCCACAATAGCCGTGACGTGGCGCCTCCCGCCCACCCACGCTCCCCTCCCCCGCTGCCGCCCGCCTTCCCCGCCCACTTCGGGGCTCCCGGCGCCCCCACCCCCCGCCGCCGCCCGGGCCCTGGGCCGCCAGGAGCCCCCAGGGCGGCCGTAGCGGCAGG